AAAGGTTCGCTCAGAAAGAAGATCAATTAACCTGCATTAACGCCTAATTACCGCGACGTCCGGCGAAAGACAAATCCCTGTCCCATCAATTCCGGTCTATGAAGGGTTAATTTTAGGCGAGGCCGATGTCGGAGCGTGACGGGTAATTTTCGGTGGCCGCGTTGACAAGGAACGTATCACGGTCGGATTATCATCGTTCCCGTTGAGTCGAATGGAAACCTAACCGCCCCCAGTGAATGGGCGATCAGGTCGGTCGGTGGGTGAAAATGGGTCGCTGATGGCCGATTGTGGGTCAGTCGTTTACGGAACGCGTGAATTTCAGCCGTGGATTCGGCGGCCGCCTGTGGAATATCACGATATGCGGCCAAACGTCCGTTTTCTGAACAAATCTCAATAATTTGGAAAGTACGAGTGATACAAATAAATGCTTCAGACAAAAGTTGTAAGGTATAGAGCTAAATATATGGTGGTTATATTTTTGTTTAGGATATGGGGATGTTACGAAGTTTTTTCAATGACAATGTATACTTTGCGTTTCGATTCCAACGTTATATAAATAGAGAAATGGGATTTATTTCCTGAAAATTTTGATTTTTCAAATGAAAATTATTTTGTTTAGCAAAGGCTATTTAGTGACGCATTGGTAACCTTCAGTTTTCGTTATCTGGACAGTCGAATTTTGAGATTTTGTCCGCAGTGTGACTAAAGGGCCACTTTTTGGGCAGAACTCAATAACTTGAACAGTACGAGTGATACAAACAAATGTCCGAGGCAAAAGTTGTAAGGTATAAAGTTAAATACATGTCGGTTATATTTTTGTTTACGTTATGTGGATATTATGAACTTTTTCCAATGACAATGCATATTTCGCGTGTCGATTCCAACATTATATAAACAGAGAAACAGGATTTATTTCCAAAAAGATTTGATTTTTCAAATGAAAATTCTTTTGTTCAATAAAGACTACTTAGCAACGCATTGTTAACCTTCAATTTTCGTTATGCGAACAGTCGAATTTCGAGGTTTTGTCCACCGGCGGCCGCACCTGTATTTCGGAGGGTTCGCAATCTGCCGGGGCCGCGCATCGCGGGGAATAATGTCGGGGCTCGTCCGCGCCGCCTTTGATCCAGGAAAATTCGGCGCATAGATTACCCCGGCTCGACGGCGTGGTATCGTTCCCGACGGGGCGAGCCAGCGAAATTCGCTTTGGCGGAAATTAGGTAACGCAACCGCTATCGGACCGCTAAATACCCCCTTTCGCCTCGCTGGAGCTCTCGCCGTGCGTGCGTGGCGCGCTTAAATCGTGGCCGCGCGACGGGTGAACAACCCCCCGCGACGGGAATTGTTGTTTGCAAAAAGGCAGCTGCGACAGGAATTGTTTTGGAAAAGGCAGCTGCGGTGGGAGTCGTTAAGGGAAAGGGATGCGCGATGGGAATTAATTGCGAAATGGTATTAGCGACGGGGATTATTTAGGAAACGGCAGCTGTGACAGGAATTATTTTGGGAAAAGGTATCTGCAGACGGGAATTATTTTGAAAAAGGTAACTAGAGGTAATTATTTATGGAAGGGTATTTGCAATAGGAATTATTTGTGAAATGATATCTGCGATGGGAGTTGTTACTTGTAAAATGGTAATCATGACAGGAATTATTTTGGAGAAGGCAGCTGCGATAGGAATTATTTATGAAGAGATATCTGCGTTGGGAATTGTTTATGAAAAGGCACCTGCGACAGGAATTATTTGCGAAATGGCATCTGTTACTGGAGTTATTATTTATAAAAAGGCACTTGCGACAGGAATTATTTTGGAAAAGACAGCAACAGTAGGAGTTATTTGAAAAAAGGCAACTAGAATAAGAATTATTTGCGAAATGGTATCTGTGATAAGAATTATTTAGGAAAATGCAATTGTAATAAGAATTATTTACAAAATGGTATCTACGACAAGAATTATTTAGGTACAAACAGTTGTAACAGGAATTATTTGCGAAATGATGTCTGCAACAGGAATTATCATTTACAAAAAGCCACCTGTGACGCACAGTGGACCAGAATACAAAAACTTGGATAAAACCTACAGTTTTGTTGATTATGACTTATTAATCATAAACAAATTTGTTCTCAAGCTTTTCGTGCCCGTAAAAGTTAGTTATTTTAAAATGAAATTTAAAACAAATATTATTATACTATTATATCCTCGAAACTCAATAATCTAGATTTACAAAAGGTAACAAGTGCAAGTGTTGTGGTAAGAATGTTACGATAACAGACGTGTAAGATCAGCAAACGCAATTTTCATTCTTTTAATTGACAGTTTCATTGTTTCATAAACCTATAAAATTCCGCAGTTCATTTATTACGTTCCGATAGATTAATCGCCGATGCGTGGCTAAATATTTTTCAATCTGGCTCGACGTCTGTGCAGTCAATTTTGCTAATTCATTATTGGCGACATTCCAATCCCACGATTCGAGCAACCTGTGATTCGACGAGTACACTGAGCTACGAAAATATTCCGTATACAGTATTCCCACGTAAAATTATTTGAATGATTTATCAATGAATCGCTTTGAAACACCTAGAACATGGTAATTCATTTGAAGCTGTTAATAAATGATTAATTCAAATGAAACAGAAGGTTGTAGAAGAAGAGGAACAATGAATTATATATAAAATGATCCTGTTGCTTCCGGTGAACTTCTACCGTTGTTCACGAATGAATTTCACAGCGGGATCAATTTGACATAGGTTATGTATTCATTCACAATTCAAGTGTGCCGGGAACGTCCTATCAAAACCGATAGTCCGTTAGTAACGAGCCACCTGTGCGAACAAACGAATAGTTGGAACAGATTCAAAAATAGGATCCCGTGTCTTGTCACTCCGGCTCACGTTTTTCAGCACCCGACCTTTTTGACAGATTACGGTCGGCTCTCTGACAGCCATATTTTACGAATCCCTGAAATTTTTAAGCTTTACTGGCAACAGAAGCCCGCCGTTTCTATTGAAAATGTCCCAGTCAACTTTCCTCGCGATCAATTATATCGAACGCTTCATTAGTTCTTGAGATTTTCATACATCTTTGTTCGGTATTTAATGGATAATGAGTTTTTATTAGAAATAACAAATTGTTATTTAAGTTCTGCGTAATTTGAATCATTGGTTCATTAATCACTGGTTGATTATTCAGTGATATGTGCAATTAGGGCAGTTTTAAATTGCACTTGTTAACAGAAGATCAGGCAGAATATTGAGATTAGATTGATGATGATGGGATTGATTAAAAAATATCGGAAATCTAACTAAATAAAATAAATAAAAATATCAATCATTATATGATTAAAAATATCGATAGTTAAAATATCAATATAGTATGAATATATTTCCAAAATATTCTTACAGGTACTTCGTCGAAGGAAATATTGTTATTTCGAAAATATTCTTGTAGGTACTCCGTTAAAAAAAATATTCGTAAGTTTCGAAAATATTAACGATGTTAAAGATCAATATTGAAAATATTCTTATATTGAAAAATATCAACGATATTAAAGATCAATATTGAAAACATTCTTATAGGTACCTCGTTAAACAATTATATTTCATAACTATTCTTATAGGCACTTCTTTAAAAAAAATATACTTATATCTCAAAAACATCGTCGCAGTTACTTTGTCGAAAAAGATATTCTTACATCTCAAAAAGATGGTCTCAGCCGCTTCATTAAAGAATACCAAATACAAAACAATTGCACTATTTCATTAAAAGCGAAATAACTCATTTCCATTGCACGATCGAATTATTCTTACCGTCGCCCGATGTAAATTCCCGGCGCAGATCGTTCCACTCGAAGTAGCTCGGCAAAACGTTTACACTTGGATTGTTAATTCGCGCGGTGTACGTTCCGTATCCTAACGTCCGTGTTTCATCAATTTACAATTGATCCGGATTCCAGCTTCACGGAAATGGTATGTAAATGCGACGTGTTTAATCGCGACTATCCCCAATTATCGCGGTTAATAGATTCTAATGGGCCTGGGACGTATTAGTGGACCCAGCTCGGTTCGACTTCGTTCCACGGAAATCGAGCTGGGAATCGAGTGTATCTGGTTGAAACGGGCTCACCGATTCGGCCCTTCGATGAACAATTAACTCTTTGTTTTATAACGACCGGCGTCCGTCCTTTTTTTTTGTTCATCCTCGGTGTTCCTCGAATTGGTTAATTGGCACGAACTGTTGGAACTGGGATAGAGGGAATATTGAATCTATCGGTATTACAGGTGGTATCGATTTCTTCGATGTCGAAGGATTTTATTAATCTAATTCTGTTTGAAGTGTATCAATCGTTTGTCTTTAACCCTTTGCAGTTTGAATTCTTTCTGCAGTTTTTTTTATCGGTAACTCTGTATTAATAGAAATGTATTATTTGAAATGCACTTTGAGAAATAATTAATAATTGTAGAAAGCAGTGTAAATAATTCTTTTTATTAATAACATTGAGAACGTAATTGTTGGAACTGAGATAGAGATATGAGAACTTACTAAAAAAGACGAGATTGTCGAGACTGGAATTATCTTGAAGAATAAACAAAAATTTGTACATAATTAAGAAGTATTATTGGACGTTATCTAATGTTTAGTATATGTAAAAATTAATTTAAGACAGGAACTACGGAGTATTTAATACACTTAATATGTAATCTTTATAATAATTGTAACAATAGATTATTTTCGGTTTCGTCAGATATTCGTTATAGTATTCAAGTGAAACTATTTATTTTCAGGATCATTTCGTATATTCGATTTAAGATATCAATAATTGCGGAATAAAATAATCGACACCAGTCACTTTAATTGGTACGGAAGTTTTAGTGTTAACGAGATGGTAAGAATGTATGGATGACAGCGAAATGGTATAACCGTATTATTTTGAATTTTATCTGAAGGCAATAAATCACGTTCATCCCTCTTCATTAAATTCCCTATGGTTCTGTGTTTCAGTGATGGTCGATTGGTAGAAGGAGATCAGATATTGGCGATAGATGGCCAGCCACTAGACTCGAATATCTCTCATGAGCAGGCAATCTCGATTCTTCAGAAGGCACGTGGTCTGGTTGAGTTGGTCGTAGCAAGAAGCGCCCAAGGTAATTTAAATTCTGTCTGTGTACCACATAAATTCATCATCCTTATCTTAGTGCCTACAGCCGCCCCGGAAAATTACCCTACGGCGTATTTATAATTCATAATATAACGTGTCTTTGAACCGTATAGACGATTTTAAATTAGCCAATTTAAAATTTTAAATTAGCCAATTACTTAATCTATCCGCTATTGACACGCTAATGTTTCAAATTGAATTTTATCCGTACTTACGGACCACTAGTAGTTTCTTAAGATTCAGGAGATCAACGATTATGACAAACCAAAAATCAGATAATAGCATATTAGTAATTTATCTGTACATAGGTAGACATAATCAGATTGTGTATTTTCCTATGAATACAAAAATTATGTAGATTAATTTACTAGAACCAAAATAATTGAAATATAAGATATATTTAGCTTCTGTCACAATGAATATCAGAGGCAGAGTTAGAAAGTAATAACAGCAATTCAAACGGTAAGCACAGCATAAAGTCTTGGCAGTTTCCCAATTCTGTAGAGCAAGACCTTAGTGCAGAACATTTGATCCCAACACCCGTTAGAAGAGAGTTAATTGATCAAGCTACGATCCTCTAACTCTCTACACTCATGATCACAATAAACACCAAACTCACATTCCCGCACCCCCATTAAAACATCAAAGATAACCCAGTCTTCATCAGTAGTTCTCAGTACATAAAATTTGAATCTAACATCCGTCAGAAGAGTGTCAATTGACCAAGCAACAATCCTTTAAATCCTTATACTCACCACCACAATAATGAGCAAACTCACATTCCCACACCTCCATTAAAACATCAAAGACAACTCAGTCTTCACGAGTACCCCATCGCAATCCCCTAAAGCAAGAGCTCGATGCACAGAATTTGAACGGAGCACCCGTTATAAGAGTGTTAATTAACCATAGAACAATCCTCTAAGTCCCTGTACTCACCGCTACCCTAACCGCAATTCGGCCCCAACCTCTGGTCTGAGGCCAAGCCACCTAGTCAAACATTATCCAATAGAGATTCCCATTCAACTGCCGTTGAAAGACACGGGCCGGGCACGGCGATTACGGCTCTCCTTTCTTTATCACGGCCCGCAGACATTGGGGGTTCTTTGCCGACGGATGAATTGTCCGGAGGTTCGAGTTCGACAGCGGCCGCGGGAGCAGGTGTGTCCATCATCAGCGGCGTTGTCGGCGCTGCGACCAGTCAGTCGAGTACCGACAAGGATCAATTGGTCTCCGTGTCGTCTGTCGTTACACCGGCGCCAACACCGAAGTCCAGCCAACCAGCCAGCACCACCTCGGCGGCGACACCGACGCCGACACCCACACCGACCCCAACCCCGACCTCGACACCGGTACCCGGTGGCCTCGTCGTCGAAAGGAGCCCCTCCGCCGTCAGCGACGCCTCCAAGAGTGGCTCTGACATGGTGGTGAGTATAGCTGTTGCTGTGTCTTAACCACTTGAGCTGGAAATGAATTCAGACATTTGGCAATGTCTTGCGCGATGAATTTTGTTTTTACCTATTTTACGCTGATATGTACACCAATTTTGTTTGTTAATCGTTCTGTATAGAGTGATACATTTCGAAACAATCTAATAGGCGTAATGCAACAAGATTGTTAATGTGTGAAAGACGTAATTGAGAATTTTGCAACACAAACGTCTCGACATGCGTGGCACGTCTATCCAGCGCAAGTGGTTAACCTTTTGTACTCAGAAGTTTCTCATTAGAAATGTGTAACATTTTTTCACGGGGCGAACACGATATTCCTGGAAACTAACTCGAAGAGAAATCACAAGTACATCGAGGAGCAAAGCCATTTTATTCCAATATTTAAATATTAGATTTTACAGTTTCAGCGCGTCTAATTAAATGGTGACTGAGAGTCCCTTTCGAGTTTAAAGGGTTCGGTTTTTTGGGGAATTTTTTATTTTTATTTGGAAATCGTCCTTGACAATGATGTTGAGTTGTCTTTTTTCTTTCTTGGCTTTTTTGTGGGTTGATGCAGCTGGGATGATTTATTTAGTGCTATGTTACTCTTGTTATGTTTCAGTCTTTTTTTGTATTTTTGATTTTGTAAATCATCGACAATGTTTTTTTCCTTTGTCTTTTAAGGGTTCTTTAAATCGTCCCATTGCTTTTTTAAAGGGTCGAACCACTCTGTAATGGTTCATAACGTATTGCCATGCCTCAGTCCTTTTCTCTACTCCTCTTTTTACACCAATGTTTTGTATCAATAGCGACAAATAATTTCATTGTTTGCCATTTTAAAGGTGAAAGCAACGAGTAACTAAAATGTCTTACTAGCTTGAAAAATCTTAACATTCCTCTTACCTCTACCTTTTTAAATCTCGCATCTCTGTTCACCAATAGAATGAAGTTATTTTTCAAAAGAATAATAAAGTACCGATAATCATTTTCTTATACATTCATAACATCCAAAGGACTCTTGGAACAAAGGACGTATTATCCGATTGAAGAAGACTGCAGAATTGCGGTAACCTCGTAAAAACAGACACGTTGTTACCATTATTATGATACGTTCTACATTTTACACTGTACACCGCAATACCGCGTTTGTACAATTCTCGCTGCACTATCGTCTCTATTATGAATCGAGCGCGCCGCGGAAGACTCGGTTGCCTGAAACATTAACGGAACATTACACTTGCAGGGAATCAACGTTATTATTACAACACTCGAATCTATACAGCCAGGAAACACGTGCGCTGAACACTGCACCGGTTGAATAATTAACATCAAATTCGTAGAATTGATCGTTGTAACCTGACAGACGTTTATTTACCGCTACAACTACCGGTCGGCTCAAATTCACCCACTTTAGAATCCTTGTTTCGCGAGTATTTCAGTTATTAAAAATTATATAAAATTACAATATACAAGATGACTGTCGTCGACTAAAAATATTTAACAAGAGTGTAATGTAAGAATTCTGATGCCAAATAATTAATTCTTTTCCTATGTACCTTTGCTACGAACAAATCGTGTATAAAACATTCAAGATTTTCGTGGCGTTTAACGCGTTAAGGCGTTTTTGCGAAAGATTTTTAATTGAATTTTCGTATTTGTATAGATACAAGGCTAGGAGACTCTTCGAATCTCAAGAAACGTATTGTCCTAATTTTTATGCGTGTTTGGAAATAAATTATTCTACTTACTTGCAATTCTTCTTTGTTTTGCTTTGGATTTTCGTTGAAATGGGTGTACTGGTCCTGTGTTTGACAATACTAATTCTTTCAACGATGAATTATTCATCTTTTCAGACAAACATCTAATTCTTCTTTATTTCGCTTTGGGTTTTCATTAAAATGGGTGCATTCATCCTGTGTTTGACGAGTATATACGTTATTCTTCGATTTTATCGCGCGCGAAACGAGAGGTTTTTCGAACTAAACTCCACGGCTAACAGGTTAATGTAAATTACGTGGGATCTCGTTTGTTCGGCCGTTAGGTCACACGACTCTGCGCATTAAATCCTGATACAGCAATATCACGCGGATTAAGGGATCCGGCGTTGCAATTTGAGATGGTAGATCCAGCTTTCCCATCGCAGCTACGTAATCTTCATTTTATTCAACACACAAGAAGATTCTCTTGCTTATTCTGTAATCACGGAATACGTTCGTCCTATCTTTTCGCATTCAACAAACGCAATCTCGTTTTTATTCGACAAAAATGTAACTCCCCTCTATTTCGTGCATATGAAATACCTTTTTAGTTCCTCTTCGCTGGGAATATTTCCTCTTTTCAAAGTGGACGGTTCTTTCTTTTTTTCCTTCATTTTTTGAAGGTGTGTGCCTGTGTTCCCTGTACCTTTTAAATTACACGCGTAGCCTTTAATCTCGAATAACGGAATACATATCTTTCTCCGTGCATGAATTTCATATTTCTTTTGAAACGTACGACTTCCTTCAGTGTTTTCCTGTCGAACAACTTGATAGTTTTTGTGTTTCATTTTTTGGGAAATTGGGTATTTAATGGTTGAAGATATATCGCTTCTACTTCCTTATGTTTTCATGATTCATAATTTTTATTTTTTTAACTACAAATTAAGAATATATTTAGTACTTCACAAGAAGAAATACGAATCAGATATTTGAATGTATCCACTATTCGTCGATGAAGAATGAAATGTTTTATTCTTAGAGAAATTGGGTATTTAATGATTAAATATATATCACATCTACTTCCTTCTGTTTTCGTGATTAATAATCTTCAATCTTATTAATCTCCTTTATTTTTAAATGAACAAGAATATATTTAAATCTTCACAAGAAGAAATACGAATCAAATATTTGAATGTATCCACTATTCCTCGATGAAGAATGAAATTATTTTCATCGTAATTGTTTTTCTCGAAGTTGATCGTCTTACATTCTAAACGCAGTGACATGTGACCCGTGTCAGGGGTCACAGTACCGTGTGCACTCGACGCAACACGAGCTTTCAGCGATCGGAACAGACGTTTCCTGATTAACATTGGCAGATACCTGATAATCGCTTAATAGCATTACGATTAGATAGCTTTTGAGTTGTTTGTCATGCATCTGCATAATCGCGTTGTTCCCACGGCTCACGAATGATCGTTCTCGTCGAAACGAATGATAATCCCCTCGTTCGTGGACCACGAAATTTTGTGCACTATGCAGCACTATGAATCTTCCAAAAATCGTAAAATAATAAATTTTATGATATTTAATATAGTTCCATCGTAAGTGTATATTTACTTTGAAAGTAAAACATTAATAACAGCAAAATAGGCTTTCCTTTCAGTTTATGTATAATGAGTAGCATTAATTTGTATTAAATTCATTTTGAAATCTTCATCACGAGTGTCAGTATATTTATATTAAAAATTAAACGTTCACAATAGCAAAATAACTTTTCACTTCAAATTAACTATAATGAGTACCATTAATTAGTATTGAATTCACTTGGAAATTTTCACCACAAACTCTAGTATGTTTATTATAAAAATTAAACGTTGACAATAGCAAAATAACTTTTCATTTCAAATTAAGTGCAATAAGTACCATTAATCTGTATTAAATTGACTTAAAAATCTTCGTAATGAGGTCAGTATATGCAATTTACATATAAAACACTGATAATAACTAAATAACTTTAATTGCAATTTATATGAAATATATAGCATTGTTTCTTTATTAAACTGCGTAAAAAATCTTCATTACGAGTCTTAGTACATGTTATGAGACAAAATAGGAATTAAATATATTCCTGGTCGGAACAATACTCACTGTTTGCAGTTACTGGAACTATTCGCTTGAAATAGTACGTTATTCGTTGCCTATCGATCCCGGAATCCTGTTTATTCTTACTATAACTCGGAATGAATGACTCACAGATGCATTAGGGTGCGATGTGGATTTTACTGATATAAAAATTGCGTGTAATGGAAAGCATGTTTGTACGAGCAACAGTAAAAGCGAAATGTGGAACGAAACGCTCTTGTACGTGACTTTATTCTTTGATAAGTGAAATTATATGTTTGTCGTGCACACAATGTGAAACTGATTATTTTTGTCCAGTCATTACTCGATATTTCTACTTCTCAACCAATTTATATAGTATTGAATAACTTGTGTCAAAGTTTAAATTCTCGATTTGACGCTAAAATTATTAGACAGGTCAAAATTATCTATTTCTGATTTCTTCTTCTTGTAATTGAAAAGACAACAGGTAAATTATTAAAGAAATTATTAAAGAATTTGATTTAACAAAGCTCAAATTGAATTGCGAATCGATTAAAATTTCAATGGATACATTCTTGGAGTTTCTATAGAGGATTTTCAAAAAGTTAATTTAACTGCTCGGTAGTTTTAGTGTTAAAATAAAACTGTTCACTGCAAACCTTATATTAGCGATCCAAATGTCTATTCACCTAGATTGTATCACAATATTTTTGAATTCTTCATTCTCGAAAATCAACATGAATGTTCAAACAATCATAATCTCAAGCAATTTTGTTAAATCTTCACTACAAGCTCTAGTATATTTATTTTAACTACTAAACATTTCCAATAGCAAAACAGTTTTTCTTTTCAAATTAAGTAGAACGAGTAGCATTAATTTCTATTAAATTTAATGAGATATCTTCACGACAAACTCTAAAACATTTCAAAAATTAAACACTGACAATAGCAGAAAACAAGAATAAAAGAAAATTTCGAACATAATATCTTGAAATAAAATAATCTCCAGAAATAATCTCTCCATTTATAATCTCCTTCTGCATACAACACGTTCTTCACTTAAGTTTGCAAAATGAATTACCTGCATAATTCCTCATCGCACGAACTAGCAGTAAAATTGAATATTCCCGAAACTCGACGATTTTCTAAAAAATCTGCAAACGTTTTTCGAGAGGAGAGAAATCACTGTGTCCG